ATAGGCTCTGTTGCTGTAAACATTCAATGAACTGCAAGCACATACTGAGAGCAAAGGTCAAATCACTGCTCAGTGTGAAAATATTCGTGATTATGATATAGAATTGAATGTAATTTTATTTTTGGGCTGTTCAAAAATTTTTTTGTCAATCATTTTAGAGATACTGAAAGATAAACAAGAGTGCGGTACGTTAGTGCAGTCTGAATTAAGACCGAGGTAAAAGCTATATTTACTGAGACTGAAACTTGTACAGTGCTGTTTACACCATATAGTGACATCTGTCATGACTTTTAATAGCACTTGTGGTAGAAATTCCCCTGTGCAAGTGACACACCTGATGCACCTGATGCAATCTACTGGCGACACTTACAAATTTTCCACTTGTGTGCATCTACTGGCGAACCCCTGGTGAGTTGGACGCCCCTTTGGTCATTATCACTTGGGACTAAGATCTTTAGTGTTCCATTAACCTGCTGACAGACTCCAGACAATGCCTTTGAATATGCTTTAATCACGGCTGGGAGGACCTCATATAAATCACAGAGAATCGCCCTGACAATAAGAGTACAACAGTTTATATAGAATGTGTCTGGCAAAGAATATTTGGTTTTTGATTACGTCTTGTTACTCAAGTCATGGGGTTGTTATGGTTATTATATTTAGACCGACATCTAGCCTCCTTGTCCATATGCTTCTGTTATTGCAACACACTAACTTTGGCTGAAGTGTTGGGGACATTTAGTATTCAAAAGCATACAAATGTTAAGCCTGCAAGAAAAAGAAATGTTAGTTATGATTAATTATTAATTTTCATGGCATAGTGATTAATTAAATTCATTTTTCTCTTTGACTAAATCTTTCCGGTGCATGGAACAAAGAAAAGATGTGCATGTCATCTGAATGGGTGTAACCCTCAGGCTTGGCTATAATTATTATTATATGCATCGGTATTAAATTTTGAATATGTTGTCTTTTTCATAAATGCAGTCTCTGGGACTTCTGCATAGCAGTGGTAGTTCTCTAAAACTGAGATATAGTTTTTGCAAAATAATTTCTTTTTAAATGATCAAATTTTTTATTTTATTGCCCAGCTTCACTTTTGACACACAAAGGATAATAGTGATTTTATTTTAAATATTAATACATTATACTCAGTCCACACTGCAAGACTAAAGATAAACGGTTATCTATCCCAGACCATTACATCACAAAGAGGAACACGACAGGGTTGCCCATTGCCCCCGTCTCTGTTCGCATTATCGAACCCCTGGCACAATCAATTAGACAAAATATAGATGTACAAGATATAAATATTAATAGTGAAGAAGAGAAGATCAGCCTGTATGCTGATGACATTCTTGTATATCTGAGTAACCCTGATTATAGTAAAACTGTGGTCCTCCCTTAAGGCATTTAGGAACCTTTCTGGTTACTCATTGAACATAAACAAAACACAAATTATGGCCTTTAATTTCTCTCCCTCTCAGGCTTTGAATAAGATATATAACTTTAAATGGAATTCTCAGAGTATCAAGTATTTAGGGGTAATTATACCAAAAAAACCTCTCTATGTTATATGAAAGCAATTATGTTCCCATTAATAAGACAATAAAAATAGATGGGTATTACTCCCTCTAGATATGAGTAACAGAATAGAATTCTGTTGCTATATCTATTCCAGGCCTTACCAGTTCAAATTCCTCTGAAACAGTTTCATGATTGGGACAGAATAATTTCAAGATTGATTTGGAACAGTAAAAAACCATGGATTAAATTCATAACTTTACAATTAGCAAAAGAAAAAGGGAGAAGGTCCCTACCTTGCTTGCAAGACTATTATAGTGCGTCTCAGTTGAGAAATTTAGTTTGTAGGTGCGATTCGAGCTATATTTCAAAATGGAAACAACTAGATGTCTCCAACACCAATCCCTATTCAGTCACTTCTAGGTGATAATATAAAATTTATAGAGATAATTGAAAAGTCTAGAGATAATTGAAAATAATTTAACATCAGGTGAGGATATTAAGCTGGATTGGTTTTGATTCGCAATTTAGATAAAAGGTTTCAGTTGGGCTCACAAGAGAATAACTTCATTCTGCTCAATCATATCAGAGGGGGAAATTCTAGATTTTCAGAATTTAATATGACCTATGGCCTGGAGAAACAGGATTTTCACAGATTTTTACAAGTTAGACATTGTTATGACATGACAATTAAAAGGCAGATGGACGAATACTCCCCTCTGATAAGCATATTTATGAAAGCATACGTATCCTGTATCCAAGATATGAAAGGCCACTCTACTAAGTATCTTAAAGAAACATGGGAAAAAGAAATGTAGATCCATATATCAGAAGAACAATGGCTAAATATATGGCATTCACAGTATGTGACAGTAATTCTAGAGCTTACAATACGTTTCATTATTACTCCAAAACTGAAAGATAAACAAACAGGAGTAACAAATCAAGGATCTTGCTGGAGGCTGTTACGTATCCGGTCCATGAACTTCCGTCTGCTAGCCATCAGAGGTCACCCTTCCCATTTCATTGACTCTCGCACTACACACTGTTGCATATCACCCCGGACTACATATCCCATCATCCACTGCACTAATGACTTCTTGTGTCTTGCATATACCTGTCTGCCATTATCTGACCCATGCCTGTTTTATGACCACGTCTCTGTCTTCTCCTAATAAATAGCTTGCAAGTGGATCCGCACATCTCACGTCTTGTCAGCCCCGTTACAGAATACTCGGACCCACAAGGATCCAGCAGCTTCTCGGATGGACATTGGCCAGGTATGGATGTGGCAAGAATATTGTTAGCCCTTAGACAGGGCACACGATCACTGGAAGGTTATGTTACGGAATATTTGGCTTTAGCGACAGGCTCAGAATTACCGGACTGCCTTTTAATTGACTTCTTTTGTAGTGGCCTTAACCAGCCAGTAAAATCACGAGTGATCCATGAGGGTCCTCGCTCGTCTCTACGTGATTTTATGGACGGCCAAGGAGGCCGCCTATGAGTTCTCTGCCTGTCCTGTTCCGGCCAAGGAGGCCGCCTATGAATTCTCTGCCTGTCCTGTTCCGGCCAAGGAGGCCGTCTATGAACTCTCTGCTTGTCCTGTTCCGGCCAAGGAGGCCGTCTATGAACTCTCTGCCTGTCCTGTTCCGGCCAAGGAGGCCATCTATGAACTCTCTGATTGTCCTGTTCCGGCCAAGGAGGCCGCCTATGAACTCTCTGTCTGTCCTGTTCCGGCCAAGGAGGCCGTCTATGAACTCTCTGCCTGTTCTGTTCCGACCAAGGAGGCGGTCTGGGAACTCTTTGTCTGTCCTGTCACGGCTATGGAGGCCGTCTGTGAATCCTCGTCCTGCCCTGTCACGGCTATAGAGGCCATTTACGATCTCCCTGCTCGTTCTATCATGGCTATAAAGGCCGCCTGCAAACTCCCTGCTTGTCCTGTCAGTCATATGGAGGCCGGCCGTCGGGGAATCCTCATCCTGTCCTGTCACGGTTATGGAGGCCGTTTGTGAATTCTTTGCTTGCTTTGTTTCGGCCAAGGAGGTCGTTTGTGAACTTTCGCCCTGTCCCGACCCAGCCAAGGAGGCTGCCTCTGAACGCGCAGCCTTGTCTATCAACCCCAATATTCTGTCTGTGTTTGTCTCTGCTCTCTCGTTGTTACAGTCACCGCCATGGTCTCCTGGTCGGTGTGGTTCACTGGGGGGGTTTCCTGTTCCTTCTGCTCTGCCGTGGTGGTCTTCTGCTCTGCCGTGGTGGTCTGCTGTCTGGCTCTGGTGGTCTTCTGCTCCGCCGTGGTGGTCGTGGTGGTCATCTGCTCTGCTGTGGTGGTCCTCAGCTCCGTCTGCTCTGCTGTGGTGGTCATCTGCTCCGCTTATCTGACCCATGCCTGTTTTATGACCACGTCTCTGTCTTCTCCTAATAAATAGCTTGCAAGTGGATCCGCACGTCTCACGTCTTGTCAGCCCCGTTACAGAGGCAATGTGGGACATTATCAGCTGATCATGTACATATTTGTTTGGTCTTGCCCAGTTTTAAAGGTGTTTTGGAAATAAATGCATGCAATTATACAGGAGATCTTAGAGCTTGAGATAGAAGATACAGGTTTTATTCTATATGGGATATATACCGGATTTAGTGAATAACAGTAATAAATATTTACTGAGGATCCCAATAATAGCAGCAAAAAAAAAAAAAAAA